GGGTACGTCTTCACGCTTTCCCCTCCTCATCGCGCTTCTATACTACACGGCAAGTGCATTGTCGCGTCGCCCGTCTCGTCAAAAAGACCGCGTCGCATTCCAGTAGGCTCAATTCCCGCCTCCCTTGCGCAAGGAGGGGGGGGCTGGGAGGGTATTGTTTTTGTTTGTGTGCGTGCGTGCGTGTGTATGTTTTTTTTTCTGGTCAACCCAAGTTTCAATGGTCCAAATTCGGGCCATTAGGCACCTGCCGTACCTTACACTTTCAGCACCTTCGGGAACTCGCAGCCAGTCGACACGTGCTGGGCGCTTTGTTTTGGCCTTTCGGGTGGGGACCTGCGGATAGGTACACCAGGAGTCCAGGACAGAACTGAGAAGACCAGCCTCCTCCGCCGTGTTGCAGAAGCCAACCGATGGAATTTTGTAGACAATGGCGATAAAAGCCTCGACTATTCACAGAAGGTGATGACTTCAGAGTTCCTCCGGATTGTATTCTCCTGACATGGTGAACGACTAAACATAAGATCCAGTAGACTCGCTTTCAACGATGCTTGATTCCTCAGTAGTCTTAGCCATGGCGCTGAAATGCTCAAGCCGTGGTCCCTTACCTTACGTCATTTTAATGCTGGACGAATGGACGAAGATAAACAAAGGCGGGCAACGGTAGCCACGCGATGCGACGCGTTTGTTCGCGTAAAGCACTCACGCGCATCCAAAAAGGGGGGGTTCAATCACTGCCCACCAATTTTCACGGCTTGTTGTTGTACAGTTTCAATGTCTGGATGCACAGTGTTCAAGTCCGCTGTCTTATGTAAGCAGACACGTGCTGGACTACGTCCTTCCCAGAGACGCCTTACGTAAGTCCGTTATCGACTAAATTTCGCAGACTATGTGTGTGGTGACTGGCAGTGATGTCTCGTATCCCACTGGACCCAATCTCAAGAAGAACCTTGAGCTGATCTACGAATACGGATACCTGGCGATTCCTGTTGTCGTCTAAACCCTTCTCTCATGCACAACACTCGATGACCCAGCACCAAGCCTTTCTCTACTTGACTGTCAGCGGCATACAAGACGCACCTCCGCCCCTCACTCCCCTGCAGAAGAGCTGATCAGGAGATGACCTGGTATTACCTTATCCTCGGACTGATATGCAGGCAACATGGCCTTTTTGGGACAGAAGCTCCTCGAGTGCCTGCCGCCAATCTTCCGAATTGCCATGCGTCGTCTAACTCGTTGGCCGCACCCAAATGATCCAAGTCGAACCAGCAGATCCCACTCACGCCCCAATTTCTATGCGGGTACCTGCTCGACCGAACTCTCGGAACACCGCCAGCCGTCCCAACTCGGGTGAAGCTATCTGCTATTTACTCCATTGAGCAAGGCAGGTCCCCGGCGGAAATCAGCTCTCCCCGCCTATACGAGCTGTCAGGGCCAAGTGCGAGATGAGCGCAGATAGAGTTCGTTTGAGGCTTCTGGATGAACGGCTCTTGCCTTGTCTTAGGTTTACAAAGCTATACCCGGCCGGTAGGTATGCTTGTTATAGAGTACAGAGTACGGATAGGCTTCCAAGGTCAGGAACGTGGGAGGCTAGACGGTCCCTGGTCCCGTCTTTTTCGCATCCCTATCCGAGAAATCAACACCGCTTTGGCCTTGCACCTGGGAGCCCCTTCGTCAGGAGGCAAAGCTGGCTATTTCCATCAAGAACCAGATAGGATGTGTGATCCTCGCCCGCTGTACGCTAGAACAAACTCAGCTTGCATTTCGGTGTGGACTTGCGCTGTCAGTGACAGACAGCGTCATCCCTGACTGCCATGCCGCCTAGCTACACCCACCACTCAACACTAATTCGCACTGCAATACGGAGTACTGACCATAATACTTAGGTATTGGCCTGTGCCTGCCCAGGTTCGCGAGGCTACAGGCCGGCAACGTTTGGTTCCGGACGAATTTTGGTGGGACGTTGGCGGCGGCGGCACTACTGAGAAAAGACCTTTCGTCACAGTCTTTTCTCCTCCATACTCCAGTCTCTAAAGCCCCGCGTGCCCCGGTAGCTGATCTGCTCCTGTGCCATGCCGTCAGCAACGTGAGCTTTGTTCCGCTTTGCCGCGTGGGTGTCTTACTTCGGGACCTTGGCGGTCCATCTCGCCGCGTGCTCCTTCTATATGACAGGATTGGACCATTCGCAGATCATCGACGAGATAGGTATGACCTGTGGTGTTGGAAATCGATTGCCCGATGCGAGAAGTGATAGCCCTACGGATACGGAGGAGTCAAACATCGTGATACCGAAACCCCACGTGCCTCAGTAGCACAGTGGCGGGACCTTGAACAGCATTGCTTGACAAAGACGGGCAAACTCGCGGTGCAATATCAGGGAGACAGTGCATCTGTTCGCGACCATCAAGAGATCGCAATACCGGCAATACAAATCCACGACTCAGGTAACGCATTCTGGTTGTTCTCGACCGCTTGTAATTACTCTGTGGTAGCGAATTAATTGTGTACGAACTTCAATATCATCTCCAGTTCATCATTTGAGAAAATGATATAGTCCGACCGCCGATTCAGGCTTCAGATCGCAGCTCCGAGGATCGAGGGGATCGAAGAAAGCACGGGCAATCAGAAGTTGCAGTCTGGCTTCTATATGGACCATGGTATCGGTCCCAAATATTGGAGCGAGCGATATGACGCGAAAGTTGATTAGGAAATAGTCCCATATGCTAGCTCGACTGTCAAATGGCACTCGTTAGGCCGTGAGCGCCGCCCTTTTGCCCGATTAGGACATTGGTCGAGGTCCGGGTCCTAGGCCGCGGTGGGGCCGGTGCCGAATTGGTCCAAGTCTCGAAGCGTGGGCTCCCCAAGGCTCCATGGGGGTCCTCGACACATCCCTGCTGGCCCTTGAGAATCAGAATGGAGACTGGAGAAAGCCAAGAGAGTCCGAGTCTGCAACTACCCACGGTTCGCTGAAGGAATCTCGATTCTCAACCCCCAGCATCCCCGTCTTTGCCAGTCGAGGTAGCACAAACAGTGTTGCTCTTCTTTTACGCCCAATGCTACGCCGTCAACAAGACTGCCACATTCGAACCTGCAGTGGACATCGCGCCCTGAAGCTTGCCGGCAAACTGAGGGAACTTTCTTACCGAAGTTTCGTCGGCTTCTCTATCGACCATCGCCGTTGCAGCAAACATTGTGAACTGCCACCAGTAGGTCACCACAGTTCACAGCAGAGGGTACAGATACATCGGCATCTTCTACCGCCGCTACCTGAGTCAAGTCGCCAATAGACGAGGCAGGGTAGTAAATGGACACGGAGACAGAGAATGGTGTGTGTACTGGTACATGGTCGAAAGAAGGTAACCATGTTGCATATGCACACTCTGGTCACTCTACTACCTCCCGAAACTAACCTAATGCTAGGAAGCTCGTTGTGCTTCCCCGTCAAAGCCCGTCTATGATCTATCTCCTGGCTTGACATCGCCGTCTATCACACTCTTACATCAGCATGGCTAATACAAGTTTTGACGTCCTCATTGGTAACACTGCAGAGCGCGCGAAACAATCTACAAGTGCCGGCTTGGGTCGGAGCTTTCATGTTGCCCCCCTTAGCCTTCTCTAGACATATCAGGATGGCCCTGGCATCGCCGAACCGTTGACAAGAAAACTATGGATGACGACGGCTGGTTCACCCGAACCAAGCGCCCCCAGAGGCCGTGCAGTGTCCGTGGCTCAGACGAGCAATGGGACTAACCCCAACCCGTCAGCAAATGTCTAGGTTCTGCCAAAAAGCCAAACAAAGAGCCTGCCCAGCGTCCAGGTTCTGGCCTTTTCAGCCTTCAGAAATCTCTTTTGCAAGGACTGGAGCTATACTCAGCTCTGCTAGCGGGCGATCGTTCTCCGCTCGGCCGTCGAATGGCAGTATCCCATAACCTCACATCGTGGGAACCTCCTTCTCACGCGGACTACTGCAACGCAACGCTGTGGGTTTTCAACCATTCTTGTTTGATTGCCGCCAATGTCGGCGCCTTGCTGGGGACCCAGCCCTGAAGAGGGAGCAGGGAACGGCCTCACGGGTACCTGACGAAAAATATGTTGGTTCTATCCATATGTAGGCAAATGTGCCTGACATGCCCGCTTGCGCTTCTTCCGCCTCGCCCGTCAATAGTTTAGTATCGGCGTCCGTCGATCTTTGGTCCTCGCACACCCTCCTAGCTTGCTATCTTCTTCGTCTCTGCCGAGCCCCTCTCCTTTGATCACCTCCCCCGCTGTTCTATATGGCGCCGTCTTGCTCGCTGGCTGGATGACGTTGCTGAATACCCATGGCTGGAGGCGCCCCACGGCTATCTTCCTTTGACATTTGATGCTCATCCTCTTTTTTCCACGATCAGCCTTCGCCCAAGACCAATATAAATCCAACTCAATTCCCAACGCCCCCGCGGCAATGCCTCAATCACTACCAGATACATCCCCGGCCCGTGAGCATTCTGGACCACGTTCTGTATTAGCACTATTCCGGCGAAAAAAGCACATGGCTCAGGTCGCCGCTGTCCAGAACACAAACCACCGCCGACACAGGCACGGTGAACTCACGCAACCTCAAATGAACGGCTACAGCTCTCTCAGTGTTACGTCTCTGCACAGTCAGAAGCAGCAACAAGTAGACTTTGACGAAGGCGGCGCCGATATCCCCGACATTCCCCTGAAGCGCCCAGTCACCAAGATGCCTCTAGACCGCCCCTTGAACCCGTCAAGGTTTCAAGAGGCTTGGGAGGATGATGAGGATAGGAACTGGACCGCACATCACGGACATGGGCCCATCAATCCCAATGCCATTGCCCCCAGGCAAGATAGAAGGTAAGGAGAGAGAGAAATGTGTCTGCCGTATACGCCAAGAGCAATGCCGGCTAACTTCCCACCAAAGTGCTGTTCGTTCTCCTGAAATTCCACCGAGGGAAAGAGGCAGAGTCAAATCTCCTGAGCCTCTCCATGTGCAACAGAGGCAAATGTCTTCGAGCCCACCAAGGAGCCCAAGAACGCGGTCCTCGAGGTCCAGGGCCAACTCGACATCTTCCTCGTATCAGACAAACAACACATCACTCCCGCCTCTACAGACCAAAGGCGCTGGTGACGACGAAATTCTTGAGCCCTTGGCAGAAGAAGAGGTCGAGCCTGGCTCGTTTGATCTTGTGGTTCCATCTCACGGTGACAACGGACAATACTCGCTAGAAACCCGCTCAGAGCTCTTGTTCTCAAAGGACCATCTGCAGGCCATTTTTGACGATCACATACTCCTCCAACGGTTTACCGACTTCCTTCATCATGCCCGGCCCGACTCGCTACCCCTGTTGACTTATTTCTTGGACTGTCTGAAGGCTCTTCGTGCCATTGCGTACGCGAATGCCATCGCAGGCGGCCTCGACACTCTACCTGGTCATGAATTCTCAATGGTCAACACCGACAACACAATCAACAGCTCTCTGAGGAAGAAGGCTGAAGCTGCGTTTGACGTGCTCGTTCAGCAAGATCTTCCCGCCTACATCACTCACACCTGGATCCAGACCGTCAGCGTGTCCATCAAGAGGCGTATCACGGGCACTCTGCCGGTTCAACTGAGAGAAATGTCCGAGGGCTTGGCAGAAGTGTTCTGCCTGACGGACCCTTCAAGAAACGACAACCCTATTGTTTTTGCCTCTGAGGGTATGCATATACTTCTTCACAAGCCTATTCGTCTCACATAGCAGCTAACAACCACTTACAGAATTCCACCGCACGACTCAGTACGGCATGAACTATGTCATTGGCCGCAACTGCCGCTTCCTTCAAGGTCCCAAGACCAATCCCTTCAGTGTTCAACGTATCCGCGACAAGATCCTGGCCGGAAAGGAGCACTACGAAACCTTCCTTAACTACCGCAGAGACGGCTCCCCCTTCATGAACCTCCTCATGGTAGCTCCTCTCTACGACAGCCGTGGCACAGTCCGCTACTTCATCGGCGCCCAAGTCGACGTCTCCGGTCTCGCCAAAGAAAGCTCCGGCCTGGACGCCCTCCAGAACCTAGTCGTCGAAAAGGAGCCAGTCGGCACCATAAACGGCCAGCAGCAGCATCAGCGATACAACAACGAGGAAGAAAAGGACGAATTCGAGGAGCTCAGCGAAATGTTCAACATGAACGAGCTCGAAACCGTTCGCAGACGCGGTGGAAACATGCACCGCGTGCCCCAAGACGAAGCCCAAGCCGCATCCTCGACAAACTGGCAAAAGCCACGCATCCTAATCCAGGACGAGTCCTCCTCGGTTCACCAAGCCAACCCCGCCATACCCCTGACGAGCGGCAAGCTCTCGGGCGTCTACGAACACTACCTCCTCGTCCGCCCCTACCCCAGCCTCCGCATCCTCTTCGCCTCCCCCTCCCTCCGCCTCCCGGGCATCCTCCAGTCCAACTTCATGGACAGGATAGGCGGCTCCAACCGCGTCCGTGACGGCCTCTCCCAAGCCTTTGCCGACGGCCACGGCGTCACCGCCAAAGTCCGCTGGCTCTCCAAATCCAGCAGCGAAGGCCGCGTCCGCTGGATCCACTGCACCCCTTTACTAGGCAGCAACTGCGCCGTGGGCGTCTGGATGGTCGTCCTCGTCGACGATGAGTCCGAAGCCGGTATCAAGCGAGGAAACCAAGCGCCCCCCGTCGACGGCCGCCTCCGAAGGGCCCCCGGCGTTGCGCAACAGCTTCAGCAGCAGCAGCTCGGGGCGCAGGGCCAGCACCGCCCCTCGGTCGACGATAAAATGTCCCTCTCGAGCTTCGCGGCCATGAACCGCGCCCGTGACGAGGTACAGGTCGACGCCCCCGCCGACTTTGACGTTGACGTCACCTCCGATCGCCCGGGCAGTCGTGCCAGTCGCGCGAGCAAGTCGAGTCGGCTCAGCCGGGGTCCCGTCAGTGCGCAGCGTCGGCCTCTGATCCCGGGCGGGTTTGATGACCCCGACGGAGGGCCATCCCGGCCTGCGTATACCGTAAGGCTGGAGGAGGATTAGTCATGCCCTCTTCCCTGAGTCACTCTCCGTGTCTCTCTTGTCTTTTGCAAGTGTTGCTTTCCCAGGATGGGCGGTGTTCCGGAGGTGCTGTTGGTGATAATCTACTTGATACCATTACAATTCAGTGCATTAGTTTTGAGCTTTGTTCTATTCGGGATCTCTCTCTCTCTCTCTACAGCGCCGACACACATCTCCTATCTACCTGAATGAATTTGGAAGAAAAGAGAAAGTAAAATAATAATATAATGTTACGTCACAAAGATACCGCTGACCTTCATGCTTGACTCACATTGTATATGTCAAAATTACTACGCAAAACTCCAGGTTGATATTAATGATTCGCTCTCTCCGTGGACGTGAGAAGCCACCAGTTTCGCCATGTCAACAAACCCACTGTCACAAGCTGGACATTTGAGCCCGACTCGCTTACTTGCTTACCCGCCGTGGCCCTGCATGACCCTGCGATGTGATTCGGCTTCCGGTGGGAGTGCGAAGTGACGCCAGTACTGCCCAACACGACGTTGGACCCTTCCGACTTTGAATCTTGTGCTTCCTGTCATCCGGTTATTTGACTTTGCGTTGGAAAGAGAGCAGTTTCTAGATTCAGGAGTCAGAAACTCTACCATTTACCCTTGGTAGGTACTTCTGCCCTTCGATAGGCAACGATACCTGCTCAGACACAGCTTTTCATGTTTCATCGACTCGTAAAATTCATGTAGTCTAACAAGTTTGCGAGCGCTGGGAATTCCGCCAAAAGACCCCGGATCTACCCAAAAGCACGCCCTTGATATCTATCCGCCCAAACCTCATTTGTCCAGTTATTAGCCAACCTTGGGGAACGTAAGCAATCCGCCTTTCGAACCCCCTCTGGCAATTACTCCAAACCCTGCCTATCAGAACCTTTCAATTCCGTACGTATGAACGCACCTAGGCTTGTGCCGCGCCGGCTTGCTCCAGCAATCGGGCCCGCCAGCTGTTGCACACTTCCTCGAATCCGCCGACGACATCTCCGCATACGCTCGCGCACTCACGATTGGCCAGCCTCTCACTCCAGTTACCTCGGTTGATCCACCTCTCGCCCTCTTCGCGGAGCTCTTCTTCCCTCTTGATCTCGGCAACCAGCTCCTTGGCGCTCTTCAAGCGACGCGTGGCCGTTGTGGTTGTTTGCCTAGACATGTGGAGCGTGTCTGAGAGATAGTTGAGACTCTGGACGAGGTCGGAGGTGAGAGTGTGGAGGGCGGTGAGGGAGTCGTAGGCTTTCGTTGTCGGCCGCGGCATCGACTCGGATAGCTCGATCAAAAGGGGTAGCAGCTCATCAATGGTCTCCGAATCCGGCGGCGGAACAAGTGGAGAGAGGAGTGGGAAGGTCAAGTTGTGTAGTTGCCGGGTCTGATGAGTCAAGTGGGTAGTGAGGGCCGAATGAGCGGTGATTAGTCTACTTTGGTTAGCTGAAGACCACAGTCGTGGGGGAACCGTCTCGAACTTGCCTTGTCGCACTGCCCTCGACGCCGGCTTGAGAGCCCAAATCTCTCAAGCCGTCCGTCACCCGGTTGAAGACACCATCCGTAGGTCCTCCATTACTCTCGGTCCCCCTCCTCGCCAAAGACTCGACAGCGTCCATCTTGGCGACCAGGCTGGGCAGCATGCCGGGGGAGTCGAGATCAGACTCGGATCCATACTCGCTTCCGTCGTATTCACTCCCGCTCCGTCGATGACCGCGTTGAGCGGCTGGTGGTGGCCCAAGGTTGAAGTTCTTCCCCTTGCCGCCAGCTTCGCCGAGACTTGCGACATCGACCCCGCTGTCCCTTATTCCCTCGAAGGTGGCTTCTTCAACATTGATATTTGGTGTTCCGCTTCCGTTGTTTTCGGCGTTGTTTGTCTCTTCTTCGTAATATTCTCCTTCGTCTCCGGAGTCGGAGAAGGCGTCGGCCAGTTCGTCTGCAAGATTGCCTATGCCGTTGCCTCCGTCCATGCCTCCGCTTGCATATGAGATATCCAGAGCATCTTGGTTGTTGAAGCTGCTGCGTAAGGGCGTTGCTGGATCGGCGGAGGACCTGGATGTTCGTCTATTTTGAGGGGAGGAGTTGACACTATTGTACTGGTACGCAGCGTCAACGCCCGAATGATTGCGCGAGTGTCCCGGAGTCTGTGGCATCGTGACGATGTGACGGGGGAATTTTGCGATCGGTCGGTCGGCGAGAGCAGCGGCGGATGTGTTCGTTGAAGCCGTCCAAGCAGCGCTTTATGATGGGAAAAGGCCGGGTCGATGACGCTCCGCAACGTACGTGTGCTTGCAGCCCAAACAGTCGAGTATGAATGCAATGTTGTTGCTTGTCTGTCCCGGGGTTGCTGGTAAAGTGATAAACAACAGGGGTTGTCGCATCAAATACACGGCAAGGAAGATCCAGGTGGAGATGGGTGCGGGAAGCGTGTAGAAAGGGCCTGGCACTGGGAAAACAGCAGTCGTGCAAAAAATGGGCTACCTTAACAGTAGTCTAAGGCGGAGCAGGAATCAGTGTTGGTGGCCCATCCCATGCATGGAAGTCAGGGAGCGTTGTGTGTTTGTTTGGTGGCCGTGGGCGAGGTTGAGATTATCACTGGTTTTATTAATTTCAGAGGCGGGCTGATATAGGTTCGGCGCCAGCGATCCAATTAATGCAGTCCGGCGGGCTCTGCTTTGTTGTTTGATTTATCGGAAGAGGGATGGATGGAGACTGTGTTGTAATGAGAGGAGAGAGCCCTTGCGCCTGTGCGTCACTGGACCTTTCGGTTTTGGCGGTGGACATGGGCTCAAAGAAATCTCCGGGAAGAAAAATGTTGTCGAAGAAATGAAGATGATACTCGTCTTCCTGTGGCGCCTCGAGGCACACGCGCAGTAAGGTAGGTAGGTAATACTGCCGACGGTCCCCTAGTGCTGTGTCTCAGAAACTCTGACCGCTGACACTGAATCCCGTCTGAATCTATCCGGAAGGGGGAAGTTGTCACTCCTGCTACTGGCGGTGGCAGACGTGGTCCCTGCATCTGGCTGATGTATATTTCAACCGCTTTCACTGTGAAAGGATACTTGGCAGAGCTGCAGGCGCCGGAGCCTCAGGTCGGCACAAGAAAATGAAAAACACGCTCCCGTCTTCGTGCTTCCCCCCTCCATTCGCTTCCAGCCTGGAATGTGGTGGAGTCTGGACCGTTATCGTCCCTTATCTGGTACCACCTGAACACAACCTGGAAGCCGCAAGACAGTTCCGAAAAAGCTCCTTCGTCACGGCAGCTATTGATGAGGCAGTAGCACCGAATTCGACTCGACCTGCCTGTCCGGCAGCTTTGTTTGAGTACCTAACCTACCCTTCCGAATCGTATTACACTTCTTGCCGTCTGCTAGGTACAGCTCTCTCTACCTACAATTGCCATCTCCCGACGTCGACCCCTCCCTTGGAAACCCCCTCAGTACCTCAATTGATCGCCGGCCGCGCCATACACGTCGGCCACCATGGCAACCTTTCGCCGTTTTCGTCCTGACGATGTCAACAAGTTCTCCAAATGCAACCTCGACCCTTTGACCGAGACGTATGAGTTGGCCTTCTACCTCCAGTACCATGCCAAATGGCCATCCATGTTCCAGGTTTGCGAGGACATGAACGGCAATATAATCGGCTACAGTATGTTTGAAGCTACAGCTACGCTTTGCTCGACTTGTCTGACTTGATGCTATAGTCATGGGCAAGCTGGAGTCATCTCCCGATGTCTACAAATATTCCGAACACTACCTTCCCTGGCATGCCCACATCACCGCCCTGACCGTTGCGCCAGAAGCGCGAAGGCTGGGTATTGGCAAGATCCTTTCTGAACAGCTGGAAGCCGCAGCCGACGCCAATGACGCCTGGTTCGTCGACCTGTTTGTTCGCACTAGCAATCACAAGGCAATCACGTTCTACAAGAGCATGGGTTACAGCGTCTTCCGTGTGGTCAAAGATTACTATGGCGACCATGCCACGGACCCTACCCGCGACGGCGAGGACGCTTATGACATGAGGAAGCCAATGAAGAGGGATGTCAAGCTCGAGCATATTAGAGACGATGGGGAGAAACACGAGGTTGACCCATCTGATGTCTGGTGAAGAGCAAACAGCGTCATTTCTAGCAAAGCCCGACTATGATTACCTCGCACGCCTCGCCGAGCCGTCTGTGGCTCATAGCCACGCCCCATCGACTTGATAGACGCTCCCGCTGACGAAGGAGCTCTCTGGGCCAAGCAGGAACGCGATGACGTTCCCGCACTCATCAGCAGTGCCCTGACGTTGAAAAGACGTGGGCTCGTCAAAGGCGGCGTCCGCTGCGCGATCATGAAATTTCCAGGCCTTCTCCATCAACGGTGTGTAGATGGCGCCGGGGGCAACTGCGTTGACCCGAACCTCGCGGGCACCGTTCTCGTTTGCTGCCGCTCGAGTGAGCCCTATCACGCCGTGCTTACTAGCATCATATGCGCCGTGCTTGGCAAAACCTATCGAGAGCTAGTCAGACGAGGGAAGATTCACACCTTGAGCAGTAGGAAGATGCGGCATACCCTTGATACCATGAATCGAGGCCACGTTGACAATGGAACCGCCATCCACTATGTTTTTGAGTTCCGCCCTGAGGCAGTACATGCAGCCTGTCAAGTTGACAGCAATGATCTTGTGCCACTCGTCATCTTCAAGGTCCGCGACAGCTCGGATGCCGTGGTGTTTGCCAATGACGCCGGCCACGTTTGCAGCGCCGTCCAATCGCCCGAATTGCTTCACTATGCCCTCTATCCAGCTTTCAACCTGGTCCTTAACAGACACGTCCACTTTTGTTACAGAGAAAGGCGTCTTTTGCTCTGTAAAGTAGGCCTCGGCTTGTTTGATGGCCTCGGGGTCAACGTCTGCAAGGCATACGGTGGCACCCCGCTTCGCGATGATCTTGGCCGTTGCAAGGCCAATGCCGCTGGCACCGCCAGTGAAGGCGTATACTTTCCCGTCAAGCGATGCCATCGTGTCAGCAGTACGGTATCGTGTCGGTCAGGAATATTGTAGGCGAATGTAATACGGTTTCATGCAGAGCGTGAGGAAGTTCACCAGCGCATGCCGAGAAATAGCTCTCGAGTGTAGAGCAGTGCAATGTGTCCCGCGTTTCCGACGTAGATCCGCGTCCAATCATGTCTAGTAAATCTAGCTAGATCGTCTGCGTTCGCATGAAGTTGACCCGGCCCGATGCAGGTGAGAATTTTGGGCAACTCCCCACGACAGGATCAATGATGGCCGGCGGTGGAGGGCCGAGCCTCCGAGAGGTCCATCGAACAGTAGGTATGGTAGCATATCAGTCTACGGAGTACGAGGAGATCAATCGTATATTGAGGTACTTTCTAGTTGCCATTCCCGTGGTTAGTAAGTAGTGAATATACATGGTAGAGAAGACTGTCGTTCAATCTCATCAACTTTGCCACACCTTCCATCCAAACTTCACCAAACCCTGGAAATCGTGCAAACATAAGATGGGGTGTCGGAAGTTACCTTGACTTGTGCTTCCAGAAGGTTGACAAACACCAGGTGACGGAGTTGGAAAAGAAGGTGCTACGCGACCTGACCACAATGACTTCCCTACCTTCACTGAGGTGGTGGTTAGGAAGGTATTAGTTGGTAGGTAGGTAGTTGAATGGGCACAGGGGGTTGCACCTTCTTGAAAGTTGGGAGCTCTCAACCCCGCACAAAGCAACCCCGCCGTCTCCGCAAAACAGGGGCTCGTGGCGCGGCACTTGACGTTTGATTGGAGCCGGTCGAGTCGCGAACGCTGCTCTCATTGGCCGTCGCCAACTTGGGCGGATCACGATGGAACCCGAATAACCTGCGTACGATGCAGCCTTGCAAGCACCTGACCCGCTCTCCTGACGTACATCCGGCCGTCCTCCTGCAACCGCACTGCTGATCGGGTGCTTTACCTGTGACCCCCAGGCGTCACCTTCAGCTACGACCCCAGATTTCTCCAACTGTTCCCGTGTCGTCTTGGAGCTCCTACACGTAACCCAAGCCAAGGTACCTCTTGTGGTAGGCTGTGTGCCATAAGCTGTCAGCCGGTGCTTGGAGCTACTTGTAAAACAAAGCCGAGGATGAAGAAGTGGTTTATGACCTGAGTCGTTTTCTTCCTGATCGCTCTTCAACTTCACCTGTTCCCTCTTTGTGTCAAAAGCTACCGCCCTTCTCACTCTTTTGCAAAGTTCCCAGCCTGTGTCGCAAGGAGGCGCAAACTTCACTGCACATACTTCACTTTGACACTCCCATTGCCTTCCTTGATCGCAGCCTCTTCTAGGACTCGCTCCCGCCAAGTATCCGTCTGTTCTCGGAGCTGGTTCTCGGGACGCCTGCCCCATCATGCGTTTATTCTCGTTGCTGGTCGTCGCAGCGACGGCCAGCGCTTCCACATTGACTCCTCCTGTCCTCCCTCTGATTGTTCGAAACCCGTACCTGAGCACCTGGCTAGGAAATGCTCGCGATGCGCCGTGGGAACATTGGCCCTACTTCTGGACCGGCTCCAGCGTAAGCTCTTCTAGACTTGCCGTCCGCTTCAAGCGCGCGGTCTGGCTAACTGGGGATGATCCCACCAGGTCGGCTTCTCGGTGATGGCCTCAGTGCCCGACTCTAGCACCGTCTACCCTTTGCTTGGACGGCCCCAGGATTCCTTGCCCCCGTCTTCCAAGTGGGTTTTGGCCGCTGCGTAACCTTTTGTGAATGTAGATTGACATCCCGTCAGATACTACAATGTGTCTGTCCCGTCCTACCTTGGCGCAACCTTTGACGCCTCGACGACGAACTTGACCTACTCGATCCCCCCTCCTCCCGGATCATCCGCGCCGGTAAAGGTCGTGCTCTCCTTCCTCTCGCCCATCACGCCCACCTCAACATTCCGACAATCGATACCTGCTGCGTATCTGACTGTCCACGCCGAAGGGTCTTTCGATATCAACATCTACACCGATGTCAATGGCGAATGGGTCAGCGGTAACAGGGACAACAGCATCGTCTGGGAGTTGAGCAAGGCAAAGGCCTCGCACAAGCAAAGCGCTGCCGCTCTCAAGACCTGGCAAGTTGGAAGACAGTACCCGCAGCTGCTCACCGAGTTCGCCGACCACGCGGAATGGGGTACTCTGCACTTCACCGGCCCGGCCGACGTCTCCCATCAGGCCGGCACGTCCGCAAAGCTTCGCCAGCAGTTTGCGGCCAAGGGCTCGCTGACCAATGAAGTCGATACCTCGTACAGGAAGATCATGGACGAGGAGCCGGTCTTTGCCTTCTCCAAGACCTTTCACCTGAGCAGCAAGACGGGCAGCGAGGCGACTTCTGATGATAGCGTCCTGTTCACGTTTGCTCTTGTTCAGGACCCCGTCGTCCAGTTCGCTGCTGCAAGAGGTTTGACGCAGATGCGTCCGTTGTGGTCCTTTTACTTTGCCAACCCGGCCGAGCTGATCCAATACCACTACGATGATTTCTCGGCGGCTAGCCTACTGGCAGGGAACTACTCGGACCAGCTCGCCATTGATGCGTTCGCTTCCGGGTCATCAGATTACCAGGACATTGCCGCGCTGTCAGCTCGTCAGGTCCTCGGCGCAACACAGTTCTCTGGAACCCCCGACGACCCAATCCTCTTCCTCAAGGAGATCTCCTCAAACGGAAACTTCCAGACCGTCGACGTGATCTTCCCCGCGTTCCCGTTTTTCCTGTACACGAACCCTCGTTGGCTCGCTTACCTCTTGGAGCCTCTACTTGAACATCAGCTTAGCGGACAGTATCCGAATGATTACAGCATGCATGATCTGGGTGCCCATTTCCCGAATGCGACGGGACATCCCGATGGAAACGACGAGTACATGCCTGTCGAGGAGTGCGGGAACATGCTCATCATGGCGTTGGCACTTGTCAACGCCTTCAAGTACGACACGCAGCCGGCGTTTCTCCAAACTGTCGATGAGCATGCGCGCGCTCATGTTTCTTTCGAGGCAGAGACCAGCAGTGCTCGACCTTGGGCACTCTCCATGGATTCCTATGGCATGGACCGTCGCTCGGAAGTTATCGCAACGAGGGGCTCAAAGGAGGCCGAGAAATGGGCGTCCAGATCCTACGAGTTGTGGACAAAGTGGACGGGATACCTCGTTCGCGAATCGCTGATTCCGGCCAACCAGCTCTGCACGGACGACTTTGCTGGATGGCTTTCGAACCAGACGAATCTGGCTCTCAAGGGTATCATTGGTATCAAGGCCATGGCCGAGATCTCCAACATCCTGGGCAAGACGGATGATTCAAAGTACTACACGGACATTGCGGCCGACTACATTGACCAGTGGCAAGGCTTCGGCATTTCCAGGGATGGCACGCATGCCAAGTTGGCGTACACCTGGTACGGTTCCTGGACGACCATCTACAACCTCTTTGCCGACTCGCTGCTCTGCTTCCACTTGCCCGAGGAGAAGAAGTCCACTATCGGCGGACGAGTCACCCGATGGTTTCAAAAGGCCATTGGCGTCGAGAAGCAATCGACGTTTGTCCCGGACAAGGTGTACAGCATGCAGAGCAACTGGTACCATGCCGTCTTGCAGCACTACGGGCTCCCTCTCGATAGTCGCCACCTCTACACGAAGAGCGACTGGCAGTTCTTTGCGGCTGCGGTGTCGAGCAAGAAGACTCGGATGGAGATTCTCCAGAGTGTTGCGACATGGGTCAACGAGACCACAACAGGTAAGTTGGATCTTTGAACGTCACTTTCTCGCAGACGATCTTCTTTACTAAATCTGATGTGCCAATAGACCGACCTTTCACCGATCTCTACGAAACGGAGGGAACTGGTGGCTGGCCTGGCCCTCACTTCATGGCGCGGCCCGTTGTCGGAGGCCATTTCGCCTTTTTGGCACTGGAGAGAGCTTGTGGGGGCAAGGCCGTCGAGGGATTGAGCTTCTTGGACGAGCCTGCTTCGTTTGCGGAGGTGAATGTCGGCAAGGCGCTCGAGGCCGAGATGGTGAGCGGAGGTGTCCTGGGTGCTGAGCAACAGGTGGTCATGGAGGACCTGTAGGGCGTGGTGGTCACTTTGGCATGATGTCCTGGATACCGCCTGCCCTCCAGTTGGCAACTGGTTGAGACTGCTCAGCAACGTAGTCGTAGTATGCTGGTAACGACTAAGCGCGTCTACCTAATTTTCGAATAAAGTACATGCTGAAACAGAGTCCATCATGGCAGCCCGGGTTTAAACGTTTGCAAACAGGCGACAAATGCAGTGTTACGCAGCCCAGGCAGTGTGTTGCCCGAGATGTATTGCGCCCTCGTTCTGTCATTTTGAATATTCAAGGGGTTTCTGGTCTTCACTCCCAGATCGCAACAATGGCAACTACCCCTTTGTTGGCTACCTTGTATACGTTGATCATTGACACGGGGATATTGTCCCGTAGATGAATAGTTACTCGCTTGGCCAAATATAGCTCTTTGCTGGTACGATGAAAGAAGCTGCTGCTCAACAGGCCCCAATAGTCAGAATGGGATAAAGTGGCATGCATGTCTATATCCAATCCCAGAAATGCCCATAGTGCATGGGTTCAGTATGGAGATTATCCGTCGCGCAGGTCAATCCATAGGAGTAATGAAGAAAAAAAAAATCCATCAAAAAAGGTCCTCGCATTGGCCAACTGGCGACAGGGAGATGTAGCAACCACTGGCATGGAGTCGGTGTCTTCCCCTTGCTGCTGGTGCAGTGCTCACCCACGGTCCAGGGAGTGGCTGTCACCGAACCCACCTTTTCTGCCTCAAGTCACTGGCAGGCAGTCAATCAATCAACTCACGAATGGTGAAGGTGCGTTGGATATCCGTATACTACCACCCACCACCACACCATACTGGTGTCCAGCATAGGTAACTGTAGGTAGGTAGGCAGGCATTGGGTATTGTCTTCCTCTGCTCGCCTCCCTCGTTCGCCCTGCGTTTGATCAATACCAACGGCAGGACCGAGCCATTGGCAGCACCATTACATAACGTAGCCTGCTGCAAAAGCTGCATTTTTGTCCGCCTTGCTGATGTTCCCGTCCTCAGTTCGCCTAGAAAGCTGACCATTCAGGTGCTGCATCAACCCTGCGCCTTCCTCATCCGTCACAAGCTAGGTAAGGTAGGTACATTCACTAGACCTGGGGTGTACCTGCCGCTGCTGCTGTGAGTATTGTTATTCCGGTCTCAGAGTAGGTACCTTTAGGTAAGACAGGCAATACCCAAGTGCCTTGACTACCTAGCTGCAAAGACAGGCAAGGCAGGCGCGCGACCATACACCCGACACCCGACACACACCACACACACCACACACCTCACCCATTGACCCCGTGGACCGTCTTTCTCTCCCTCTCTACCTCTCTCTCTGTGCACCTCGACCACCAACGTCCCTTCCTCCATCTCATTTTCTTCACCTCTCCCTCCCTCCCACAATCGGCATCTAAAAGCATCGTCGCTTTCTCAATTGATGCCCTTCGTCGTCTAATTACTACATCGACGATTGTAACAAAACTTTTCCTACCTTCCTCCAGTCTCTTCTTTATCACGTACGAACCCTTTCCCTTATTTCCCCAAGGTTCCCCTTCTCGTTGGGTCCGATCCGCTTCGCATCCTCCCTTCTGACCAATCGCCGCAACAGAAGAGTCTGCGTCACCGGCTTTCGCGTCGTTGGCCAATTCTACCCACTACCAACCTCAACACTGCCAACGAACAACAACTCGTTTGTGCATTAGATCATTATGGCTTCCACCGCTATGGATTACGAGGCCGCCAACGGCGACCGCTACGATGGTTCGTTTTTTCTCGATACAGATCGCCCCCCCAAGCACGACGAGGCGCTGACAGATAAACGCGACACAGACGAGGCTCCTCGTTACGAGCGCGACAACCGCAGCGCCTCCCCTCGCCCTGCGCGTGATGACGGAGACTCTGGACGTCGTCGCTCTGCTTCTCCTTCCGGCAACGGTGACCGCGACCGCGACCGGTAAGCAAACCCAAATTTTGATGATTCCTCTTTTGTCCAGACAATGTTTGATTGCTGACACGTACTGTCTTCAGTGGCGCCAAGGACGAGACTGGCTCCCGAGGTGGCGACCGTGACGATGATGGCGCTATCAACCCTGGCTCCAACCTTTTCGTCACTGGCATTCACCCCCGTTTGACCGAGCAAGAGGTCACTCGCATGTTCGAGAAGTACGGTGATGTCGAGAAGTGCCAGATCATGCGCGACCCCCACACCAAGGAGTCTCGTGGATTCGGCTTCGTCAAGATGGTTACCTCTGACCAGGCCGACGCTGCCAAGGAGGGCCTGCAGGGAGAGCAGATTGAGGGACGCACCCTGAGCATCGAGAAGGCTCGTCGTGCCCGCCCTCGCACTCCCACTCCTGGCAAATACTTCGGCCCCCCTAAGCGTGGTAAGCATTCACTCTCTTCACGGTCTTTCCTCCAGACAAACCACTAACGCGATATTCAACAGAGGGTGGCGGCGGCGGTGGTGGCGGTGGTGGCCGTGGAGGCCGTTTCAACGATCGCTACGACGATCGTCGCCGCGGAGGCTACGGCGGCGGCGGCGGCTATGGAGGCGGTGGCTACGGAGGTGGTCGCGATGACCCCTACCGTTACCGCGGATACGAGCGCCGTGGAGGCTACGAAGACCGTGGCGGTGGCTACGAGCGTGGCTATCGCGAGGACCGTGGCTACGACCGCAGCTACCGTGAGGATCGGGGCGGCGCTGGTGGCTCTGGTGGCTATGAGAGACGCGAGCGTGGTGGTGACGACACTTACAGCAGCAGCGGTCGCGTCGATCGCTACGGCGGCGGCGGTGGCAGCGGTGGCGGACGCGAGGACCGTGGCGACCGCTATGCTCGCGGTGGCGATGACCGCCGTGGCGGCGGTGCTGCCGGCTACGAGAGACGCGAGCGCACTGGTGATGATACCTACAGCAGCAGCCGTGACCGTCCTCCCCGCGATGCGCCTGCCGGAGGTGCGGCTTACGCCGATGCCCCTGCTCGCTCCGAGGGTCGTGAGGCCTATGGAGGTTGGAAATCCTAACTCAAGTGCTATGACTGTGGTCTTGATGCTAACGTGTCTAGGCTCTCGCTAATTTCTTAACGCTCTTTCCCCGAGTCGTCAATACGCCCGGTTTGATGGCGACTGACGGATCATCCCTTTCCTCTTTCCTAGTTCGATCGATTACGGCGGATATCCCAAAAAATTGCGTCTCATGAGGTTCTTGTGCACTACAACTAGTATGGGATGGATCACTAAAATGGGAATTTTCGGCCTGCGTGGTTCACGGCTTTTTAACCTCGGTTTCTCGGTAACTATGACTGTACGCGAGGATCAGCTGCCTTTCAAAGGGGGTGCTGTTTCTCAACTCGGTCTCTGCAGTCGACGAATGTTTGGCGGACTCTATGGTAGCTATGGCAAACAATCAACGCGGCAAAAATACGGCAGGCATCGACAGGTGACAGTCACTTCCCCCTCGTGGATCAGCACTTTCGTTACACCACATCGTGGGCCTGCGGCGGTCCACGGTTGTTTCTACGCACCACTTTCCACCTTGTACCATTATCTATCGCGTCCCACATCGGGGTCGAGTCGAGTTTGAGACGGCTTCGCAAATCCGACATGGCTCTTTCGATGCAATTATCAGCATGATAAGATGTTGACCAGCAATGCAACATGAATGACAACCGCGTCCCTTAATACAACTAAAACGTAACTGTGCCGCCTGAACGCCACTATACAATTTCAACCCTCATATCGTAAATGAACCGCCTCTTTTTCCGCCATCCACACCCTCTGTTGTTCATTTCGTCGTCATGCCAGCACAAATCAGTGGTACGGGATTTAACGAAGTCGTGGCCCTTGCTTCGCCGCGTCATTCTGATCGCCCACATCCAGCGCTCCTGGGCCGTGTCTGGAGCGTCACGTGGTCTGCGTGATAACCAAGCACAAATTTCGTTTCGAAGGTATCTCCCCCAAAGTGAACTGAACCTAACTAACGCTTTACCAAAGACAACGCTTTCACAGTGAAAAGTCGTTTCGGATGGAATGTGGATGCCTGAAATAGCCTTGGCGTCCATCTCCCACACCTACTTCGCTACCTTGTTCTACTTCCTTTTTTCCGTCAGCTTTCCCGACTTGACGCGGGCGACTAGACCAGCCTGGTCCCCAAGGCGCAGTGCAGCCTGGCTGTCGGGCCTACCCCATCTAGATGTCTGCTGTCTCAGTCTCGACGCGGGGTTTGCCTTTCGTGTGTTGGGTTGAAAATATTTTCTCCCGATCCCATACGGTTTCTGACGGGGCTTTCCCTACTGCTTCAAAGAAGTTGCTCAATGGCAGCGTGGCTAGACCCTTGATGAGCTCTGCTGTGTCTGTGTACAGGCTGCAGCCATAGGCTTGCGCCACCCGCGTCAAAATAGCCTTCAATATCGAGTGCATGAGTCACACGTATAATTTGTTGGATCTCGCAGATTCTGTGCAGGTTCTCGCCTTCATCAATCAGAACCTCCATGAGGTCGACCAACACTTTAACGTTCTATCACTGGGTAGAAGAAATGCTATACACCTCGAGTCTGAGCGATGATTGACATTACGAACTAGAAATGTATTAAAATAGCTTATTACACACTATAAACACACATGAATAGACAAAGTCATGGAGCAGAACTCTGGAATCCATCGCGTTGCATCAATTATATGAGAGTTTGGGAATCGTTCATCATTCAGTCGTGACTACTACTGCAAGTATATGATCTAGAACCTACTCGGCCTCAGTCGTCTCTTTGTGCCTGTGACTGGTTCGGCGCAGGCGCAGGCGCACCAATAAGCCAGCCGACGCCCGACGTCAATGTGCCCATTGCCGCCTCGCGGAGCTGATCGCGTTTCCTCGCCCTAGGGTGGTCATCATGCCCGTCCCATTCGCTGTCAGGCGCCGACCCTGACGCAGCCGGCTGAGCTGGGGCTGTTGCAGCCGCACCGCCACCGCCGGCAGACTGCTGTAGCGTCGAGAGAGCCGTAAAGTTGCGAGTCGCCGCCCGAGCCGTTGCCCGCGAGAGGTCGAACAGCGACATGGGCGCGTCGTCCCCTACCTTGCTCGCAGCCGTGGCAGATGGGCGGGCCTGCCGTTCGCCTGATGACCGGTGCGATCTTGCCGTCGCAGGGGCTGCGTCGAAGCCGCCGGGCATACCAGAGTGCACGTCAATGTCCTCTTCACGCGCGGCGTCCTCTTTAAGAGCCGAGTCGAGTTGCTCCTCGCAGCGACGGAACGTTTTGAGGATCTCCTGTAGCTGCGAGGGAGGAGCGATCCGCAAGGCCGTCGCGAGGCAGTCGATGCGCTGTTCTAGGTGCCGGATGTCGGGGTTCCCACTGGCGTTGCCCAGGTGTGTCGGGCGTACTGTTCGGGCACTCCTGATGTACTGTCCCGCCTGCAGGGCAGCCCTCCAGGACCAGTCGTCGTCGACCTTTACCGTGGAGCTCGTCGATGCGTCCGCCCCGCCGCCGAGCCGGTTGACGATGTACGAATACGCCGTCTCGAAGTCGTCCTCTTTCAAGGCTGCTTCGATGCACATGGCTGTGATGCGTTGCCGCGCAGCATCGACTTGCTGCCCATCTTCTACGGGTTGGGCTGCGGCAGCCTTCTTGTTGTTGCGGTCCACGAGCCCGGCGCGAACCATGTTGGTCCCCACGTCCAAGAGGTCCTGGATACGAGTGTAGCTCTTTGGATTCTGCTCCAGAACCCTGCCAATAATCGAGATCGGATCTGAGTGGACACGCAACACGATGGGGCTGAATGGCTCGCCTTGTCTCAGGACCAGTCGGTATTCGCTGAGGGCATGCGTTGCTTTCAGCAGGGAGTCGATGCGGCGCCGCTCAGGGAGGGAACTCTGAATCGTTTGAGGGAAGGCATTGATACTGGGAGATTATTAGTAGGAACACCGCCATGGCACAAGGCTTTCTACATACATCTCGTCGCATTTTTTTAAGCCACCCCTCGCGCGGCTCGGGTTCGACGCATTGTCGTACGCGTTGAGCGCAACAGCTACGATGGTTTCCTGCACTATTTGCGGTGACAGCGGCTTGTCGGCGGCGTCCTCGTACAGAGACCTTGCCAGCGAATATCCTAATCATAGTTAGCAAAGCATAGTAATGGGTCATTTTATGGTACACATACGTCCACTAGACAGGAGTGCCCTCAAGATCTCGGTCTCGATGACTTCCGGCTTGACTTTAGCAAATATTCCCATCACCTTGCCCTCTGGCGTGGGAGCAATGCCCCAGTTCCGAAGCCAAAGGACTTCATTTCGTGCCTTTACCCAGTACGTTTCGTCGTTATTGGGAGCTTTATCGGCTAGTGTGTGTATCAGCTGGACCACCTCGGCCTTCTGGTCTCGTTCATCTTGAATGAACGCCAGGTCTCCGGCCCTCTTGATAGTGCAGGGTAGTCCGGAATGCGTCAGAATGAAAGCGCTGAGAATCAGGGCGTGAAGAAGGTGTGTTGACTTTCTCGAGGGCTTGGTGAGAGGGTTCGAGTCCTTGAGCAGATCGTCCCGCATGAAGGCAGTGTTCTTGTGATTCAAGATCCCATCGCGTTCCAAATGAGCAACGGCAGATAATGTGTCTGCGCCCTCGCGCAGTGACATCATGTCATCCTGGCCCAGCAGGTCCATGACCTTCCTCAACATTTGGTGAGCTCCTTCGAGAGCTTCTATACTGGCCTCCGGTACCAGGTAAGCGCACGCCATGATTGCTCGTGCATAGCGGCGATCGAGATGCTGCTGCTGCTGCTCGCTGAGCCATACAACATCATACTCTCCCAGATCCACGTCTACAGCACCTCCCCATTGCTCAACGGCAGCAACAGCCACTCTCCAGGAGCTCGAGCTCTTGGAAAGAAGCCATTCGAGGAAACGCTCCCATCCCGCACTGTAAACGCCCTCATCTGTTGATTCAGACTCCTCTACACGTTTCCATCGGGCGTCGTCATGCAGCCAAGGCACAAGCATGCCTCTGAGATCTCTCCCGATCAAACTATAATCCTCCGATTGCACGCCCGTCTGGGACAAAAGAGCATCAATGGCAGCGCCATCAGGGAGACCCTGGAACTCGGCCAAAGTGTACGGCACGCTTTCGGTCGGGTAGTATTCGTAATTCCTCCTTAGCAGCGGTAACAAAGTTGAGACCATCCAGACCCGGATACCTGGAGCATATTGTATAAAAGGGCCGAGTAATTCGGGAAGTTGGTTTAGCAGTCCGGCTTCTTCGTCGACACGGTGTGCTCGGTGGAGAAGAAATAAAGCCAATGGATCGTCGTCGGTTTCGACGGTAATATCCTTCCTAGCTAGAGGCAGCAGGTGGAGTTTGCGAACCTTTTTCGCAGCATCCTCGTCCGACAGGTTCTCGACGATGGAGTAGTCGATGTTCTCAGCTTCGCGGTCGATGGGTTCGCCAGTCGAAAGTTCCTCCAAAAAGGCAAGGTAATCGCCAGACCTGACTGTCTCGGGGAGATAGGTCAAGAGGACGCGTAGAACGAGATCCTTGCGTAGGACGGTGGCATGTCGGGAGGCGAGAAAGGCCAGGCTTTCAATATCGGCATGGATGGCCAAGTGGACAGCCAAAAGCACCAGCTTCGGCGGGGATAGAACGAGGCTCATTCTGCGGGAATTTGAGGCATGTCCAATCTAGCGTGTCGTCTGGAACTTCTACTGCAGGCTGACCATGAAGCGCTGGACTGATGTGGTCAGAGGAGCTATCGCGAACCGATGTCGGTATATCGAGATCTTGAACAAGTTGACAGGTGCAAGCGCAAGTGCAAGTGGGCACGGGCATCAAGGTCCAACTCCCCGAAGCGTGTTCAGTTGGGGACCTTGGGGTGCACCTCATGCACTTAGCTTCGTCATAAGGTACCTGAGGTAAGGTGCTGAGTGGAGTGAGTGTCAGGTGCTCCGATTGGCAAGGCGGGTCGATCCAGGGAGGCATAGACGCGCGCTAGCCCCGAGAACTCACGGTCCCGGCGGATATGCCATTGGAATCAGGTACCTTCTGATAGGACGAGATTAGCCAGACAGCCGCGGACTCTTCCATTGGCACAACCACCATCCAGACTTTCGACTTCGCGATTGCGTCTCCACGACAGTTACCCGACGACTCGAAGCTTCACCAACCCACCAATCGGCGCTTGTATATCCACAATGGCCTCTGGATACGGACTTCACGGAGGTGATATTCCACTCCCGTTGCCATTGATACCGTACTGATCCTGTGACGCCGGCTAGGCCCATCGCGGTGCTTCCCCTACTGGCAGGAGCTCCTCGGCTGCTACGTCGTCAACACCAGCGGCGAGGACCACTCGGAGAAGAAGAAGTGCGGTTTGGCTCTGGAAGATTACTACGAGTGCTTGCACCACAAGAAGGAGGTCGGTCCCTCAGTCCCTCAAACCCTCAGCCCCGGCATTTCTACCAAGCAGAGGACCGATCACTAACCAGTGGCACGAACACATATAGGCTGCGAGAGCGAGGGCGCTTCAGGCTGCCTACAGAAAGGCCGAGTCGGCCAGTGCACGAGACAACGCACCGAGCGCGGGGCAAATACGCAACCTTGGACTACTCGGTAAGGAGGACGACACGAAGGCTGTAACGGGGTCGAGTTGAGCGAGATAAAGTTGAAGCCAGACCCGAGAGGGGCGAAACAACATGTACATGGCGCGAACCGGACAGGTAGTTGCTGCAAGCACCAAATGATAAACACCAGTTTTCTTTTCAGTGCATGGGAATGGAATACTTGCGTACAATTCGGAGATCCAGGGATGTGTCAGTCTCAACTGAAACGAGGCACAATCTCCATCAGAAGATTGAATAGGGATGAGGCACTACCCAGGATATGGATGATTGTGGCGATAGTGTTCTCATGCTGAACTCAAAGCAGCATACTTCCCTTTCGCCATCGAGGGAGGCTGTGTAGGTACATGGAGAGGAAACAATTGCCAACGTAAGCTTGGACTTGCTGGCGGAAATCGCGAGTAACGGCGGCAGGAGCAAGCGGCAGGAGCAAGGTAATAGTACACAGAGGGAAGGTGCAGTCCGAAATTCACTAGAAGCCGCACCTGCCCTAGAGAATGACAGGATCAGTCGACGAATCACACTTAAACCACAACACTACCTACCTTACCTACCTTCGTTCCCTTCCTTCGCTGTCAAGTCTCTTTCTGCACACTTCATGGTTTGCATGGCAGACCTCGTCCGACTCCCTCGCCCAGCAATCACCAATCATCAGCAATACAGACATAATGCCCAGCTTCAGGGGCATCGACGTCTCGATCGTGCCCGGTCCCAACATGGAGGGGTTGCCCGAGCTCCCGCACCCCGAGTCCTCCTCTGTCCGACTTCGGGGTCCTCATGCAGCAAGTCCGATGGCGACCACGGCTTCCGGCTTCACCTCGACGCCAGAGAAGTGTAGACCTACAATATCCGTCTACATTCCCTCGTCGCCAGGTTCGTCACTACCCTCGCTTGCTTCCTCTACACATTGCACGGGTTGGCGGCAACTAACATTGATCACATAGGATCCCAGTTCCACTTGAGATACTCAATCAACAAATCTCCCCCGGATAGCAAATTCTTGTATTTCAGAATGACTATGAACGGTCGTCAGGTAGTTTCTTGGGGTATCAAGTCGCAAGCCACCCAGAGTCAGATCGTCAGCCATGCCCTGTACGAGCCCGATACCAAATGGCACTATCGAGAGTGTGGCGTCACTTATAAGCGTGAGGGCGTTGAAAAACGGTTCTTCCACTTCGCGCCGCGCCCCGAAACTTCCGCTGCCATGGATGGCGGTCTGATCGACCTTCAAATTTTCCGATCCTACGGACGAAGGAGGAGAGCGCCTCAACTTGACGACTTCCGCAGTCAAGATCAGTATGGTATCACGTAAGAACATATCGCATCCTCCATCCAAACAATGTGACTAATTTTGCCCATGGCATAGGTCACCCACCGGAGGCCTCGTGGAGTCATCTCAAGACCTCACATACTACGACTGGGTCCTAGTCGATCCTGTTGACTCTCCGTTCGCTACGTTTCGCTTCTTTTACCGCACTTGGGAAAACCTAAAGTCGCTGAATCTCGTATCGGAGGCACATTATGAGGAACTCGTGGCCTCAGACGCACAGAGTGGACAGCTGCCGAACAGACCCAAGACGCCAAATCACAATGAGACTGAAGGCTATACTCGCACTCGACCGAGACCATACGGCTTCGAATCTCTTGATGGATTAGTTTTTGGGGACAATAACACGAGTCGGAACAAGATGAGAGGAAGGCAGAACTCAGCCGCCGAGAGAGATTTCTACCTTGAAACACCACCCAAGCTCGCTCCTCCGGCCTTAAATCTGACCAGAATGCCTCAGCCCAGCAAACTAGCACGAGAGATTCGGAAGGTGTCAGACATCCTTCGACCTCTACCATTGCTTCCTGATTTTGAACCTCCGATCAACAGGAAGTCGTTGGAATCGGCAAGAGCCCCTTCAGTCACGCCATCGCTCTTGCCGTATATTGACGAGTCAAGTGGCGGTGACGAGTTTGAGCTTGGCGTTGCCAGACGGGTAATATTGCCCTCTCTGTCTCAAGAGCTCCCTGGGATGGACCCGCGCCGTCCTCTCCCTTCTCCTCCCCGAGGACTTCCAGCATCTTCATCTGACTATGACATGACGCCTCCTTCTACGGGCGGCTTGGAGGCCCTCAATCGGGTTGGAAGGCAACAATACATCGCCGCAGCGCATGCGAAATCGATGAGGCTGAGGGGTTCATCCATTAGTAGTCTGGGTTTCTCGGGGAATTCCAGACGGGATCATAGGGCCGTCGGTTCCGACCCCGGCATAACGTCAACTGTAGATAACTTTGACAACATGAGCCTCTCTGAAGGAGAATGGCTCAAGCGGAGTCCATCGCCTTTGCGTCGCAGACATGGAAGATTGAATCTCAACATATGGAAGGCCCGAGAGACGAACGAGGGTCTGGGAGACTCTTAGGTCAAGAGGATGTATTCGGTTTTTTTGTAGGAATGTTCCGGCTATAGGGTCAGCGACGCATTTGTGGAAAGAAAGGGGGACTTTCACACTGGTCAAGCCAACGTTTTGCTGATAAGTCCCGGGAGTTACTGGCCATAAGAAGTAAGAAACTCGCACAGGTAGTTCCAGTATACGAAAATGTGATGCTTTAGTGAACGAAGACAGGGGAAACGGACATGGATAATCATCAGCACTTTCGAGAAAGGAAGGAGTTACCTGAGAATAGGGTCTGACGACCGCTATAATGGTAGGATACTCTAATTGGCCAATGGAGTTATTGATGGTCTTTGTGTGGTCAGTAGTAGACGCGGCCAGTGAACAGGAGTTGGAGCCTCTTGACAAGGTTGAGGGCGTTGAAGGATACAGCTCTCACAACATCGCCGACAACTGAATAGCAAAAATAATTAAATCAATCGTAGACAGTCATTCTCATGACCGGCCGGTGTCAGCGAATATGGTCGACGGCTGTCATCGTCACTGTCGTTGGCGAACGCAACCTTAGGCTTCGTAGTACTTGAGCGAGGTCCTTTGCTCGCCTTCTGCTTGCTTTTTCAAAGTCCAGAAGCTACATGATGCCGTCTTACAGGTTGAATAGTCCTATCCTAGCTCACAACTTGTCTGTCCTGAAGTATTCTTGCTCAATACGTTGACGACAACACGGAAGTATGTGAACAGAGCTATAGGATTACGTCTCCCTTAGGGGTGTAATGTTGCTGCTTGTGATTCTGATAGATCTCGGCATGGCTGGTCGAAGCAGAGAGGCTCTGTTACATTCCTGGCTCATGTTGAGAAACACGGCACTAAGTGACGCCTTCAATGCGGAAGAGCATGTTTAAGCAGAGAGAATCTTCGTTCTCACTTTATCATCTGCTGATGAGTTGTTCTCGGATTCTTCAAGATCAATCTCTTTGCACTGATGCTTTCTTACTCATCCACAACATTCGTGCTAGAGACTCCGACTTTGGCTACAAGCAGAATCTAAGACTACTCCTTAGAGCCATGTCTGATTGTTCAAGCCCAGAGAAACGGCATATCTCGTACGGCGTATACAAAACGCCGAGGGCTCTACATTACCACCACCTCTCACACAGAACCCGCTCAGGTCTGAGACCCAACCCGCTCTTCGACGTGAGGCTCTCGACTAACTCATCCGTCATGGACGGTATCCCGCACACATACACCAACGCGTGACCACGTTCCACTTCGGGCCCCAAGGCCTCCGCCACATCCTCCAACTCCATGCGACGTCTCTTGAACGGGACATCTATCTCGTTACAAAGCAACACCGACCCATCGGACTCGGAAGATAAGGGACCAAGGCCGGTGAGGAATAGTCTCAATTGACCACGAACTCTCTCCCGGCCGAAAATGCTCGCCAGCCGCTCCATGAAAAGAATCTTTTCGGAATCGAGACCCTCGGACGGTACTTTTGTCGAGTACATGAACTGGACGTCATACGGGCAGCTTCCCCCTTCAGCCAGGTGGCTAACAATGCTCATGAGCGGATTCACACCGACGCCGCCAGCAATGAAAACGATTCTGCGGAGAGAGCCGAGGTCGACTTCTCCTCCGGGAGGCGGCCAGACAAAGGACCCGCCGACGCGGACCTGGATCTCGGGTTTCTTCTCTCTTTGGGTGACTGCGCCGTCGTCCTTACCCTCGTCTTCGACCTCATCGACGGGTTGGTCCCAGAGCCAAGCGGCAGCCGGATTCATCGGCGACTTTTGCACCGCGAGCTCGAGGTATGCCGAACTAGGCAGGATAGCCTTAGATGGCGAGCTAGTGAGCGTGAAGCCACCTGCTTTGGGCACGCCTGGGACGTAGGTGTCGAGCCATTGGCCCGGGAGGAACTTTTGGTCAAAACAACGAGTAAGTACGTACGTCTAGTCAAGAAATCCGTGCCATGCGAGGCACACTCAAGGGTTTCGAGGCTAGGGATGAAAAGTTCCGCGCCGTGTAAGTCGTCGTGGAGGTGAACCCTCAGCCTTGAAGGGCGGCGGGTAATGTGGATGGCGCAACCGGACGTACCTCGATCCTCGACCCCTCTTTAACACCGAGTCGAAAGAGACGAATGTTTTCGTTTACGGCGTTGACCTGGATTAATGTGACGCTATTCAATGCCTGCTCTTCACCATCAATTGAAATTCAAAAAAATTAATTGAATACGTTTGCTACGTTATTAAAAGCTTGGTTTGGAACTTCCTTACAGAATCTCTAGGTTGAGCCGCCGTGCGCTCAGCATGCGACGTTGACGTTTCACCCGGCTCCTTTGCCATATTGTGGGAGAATCGAGCCTGCATTAATATAGGGTGGAATTGAGAAGAGCGGACGAGGAAATGACTGGGTTTGAGGGCGAGGGAGCCTGTACGCGGTCGATACATTGGTTTGGTGGCTCCGCCATCAGAGAGAGATAGGTGGGATGGATGGATGGGATGCCCGCACCGAGGTCGGAGAGCTCGGTCAAGTATCTACATGTCATCGCTCCCGCACTGGGCCATGGGCCACAACACTAAGTCTGCACAGGTAGGAGTTGTCACTTCGAAGCCAGAATTACATTTGTCAACACAGATTCAGACTTATAAGGGCTACGTGGTTTCAACGACGGTGTGCTTTTTGTTTGCGCCCAACCTTTTCATCCTCGCAGATTGTTCTAATTTTTTCACTACGCTTGCCTTGTCATAGTAAGTATACAAGTCCAAGCCGTGTTCCAAGTCCACGCCACCACCCGGAAAGACAATTGTGCCTTATCAGGACGGCTCGGTCCAGTTCACCTGGTCCATCACTTCCCCGGCAGATGAATGCCCGTAACCGATCCTCAGACGTAATCGCAGCGGCTGCGGGCAAAGTTAGCAATGTGAAGAGAAACAGAGAACAAGATAAAAGAAGGAAGAAACGTACTCCCTTGGCTCCAGACACAATCATTCTCTGGGTGGCTTCGGCACCAGGACCGACATCTGTGCTTGAAATGGCCATGAGCTGCAGCTTCTGCGTCTTGGGAACGGCTGCTTGTAATCCCACATTCGAAAGAGAGCCGGATCCGGAGTTTCTGAAGCGACCGATGACCTGAACCAGACCCTCGGCGTTGCGTTGGATCTGGAAGCTGACGTTAAGACCGTTGTTGTCGTAGACAGGAAGGCCTGCCGGTGCCTGCGGAGCGGCCTGCGCCTGGGGCGGAGGTGTTGCTACGGCGGACATGGAAGACATCAGGTCCATATTCGAGCCACCCATGACTGGCGCGGGGGAGCCCATGGGTTGAGCAGGGCCTTGGGAGAAGAGGTCCATGATAGAGGCGGCCTGGGATTGCTGCGGGCCAGGCGAAGTCGACGTAGGGGGCGATGAGGTTCCGCCTAGAATATCGGCGAGGAGGTCAGTGTTGGAAGCACCACCGGTCGCAGGCGTTGTTGTTGGAGGTGTGTCCATAAGGTCGAATAGGAGGTCCTGTTCGGTCGGTTTGACGACCCTCGATTTCCGGTTGGCAGCCTTTGCCTTCTTTGTGGTGGTCGCCGCACCCAACACGCGGGATTCTTCCTTAATTTGAGGCGGCGGCATCTTCTCAAGAACACCAGAACGGATCTGGTCGTGCGAGAACAAGTTGGTGTACTCAACAGCTCTCTGCTGCACTTCGACATCCAGACTTGTTTGATGGACTTCAAGCAACCGGCGAATGCGATCGAGTTGTGCGGGATCCGTCAGCCTTGTTGTCAATTTAACGAGAGCCGTAACGATGTACTCGGTAGAAACCTGAGTTGCGTGGTTGCTGTTAAGAATGGTCGTGAACAGGTCGATGAGTTCGTGTTGCTTAACCTCTCGAACCAATTCCTCCTCTTCATATTGTCCACCCTTCAACAGAGCATCACCGTACTCGCCGATGCACCACGCTCCGGATTGTGTGAGACTCTCCTGCGTAATATCCTTCTTCAAATTGATATAGAGTTTCTGAACGGCATAGGTCTGCAGTTCAGGGGTAGTGGCCACCAGTCGGATGAAGGATGACATGATGGGCTCCTTGACATAATTGCCGGCGAGCGTCAACACTCGCAACATGGTGTCGACGTGCCAACGCTTGTTCGGTGCAAACTTGTCGGCAGCAATGCCTATTTGACTAGTCATGGTAGGCTTGAACTCATTGTCGGCGACCTCCAAGAACGCAAGCAACTCCCGGATGAGGACCCGCACATTGCTCTCGTTGATGAGTGTAAAGCTGAGTTCGAGCGCTCGCCTCCTGATACTGATATCTGGGTCTCTCAAGCACTCCAAGATAGTATTGCGGTGTCTCTGGACAGCGTTTGGCTCGATGGCGACTACCTTGATGAGGGTGTTGAGCGCAACGTAACGAATGTTGTTGTCGCGGTTAGACAGGAACTTGCCCAGAATGTTGACACCGAGTACACGAAGACCAGAATCCGCCTCAATATCGAGGATTGTGAGGACGGCCTCGTACAAGATGGAGTTTCCGACATTCTTGGAAGAGTCCGTATTTGTCGCAACCTGTGCCAGAATATCGTTGATTTGCTCACTGACGTGTGCGTCGCCCGTAGCCAAGGCCCTGAGGAAGCGGAGGATCTTGACTTGCACAAACGGATCGCTAATACCTGTGACGTCATGCTCAGGAGCATACCCAGAGGTTGCAAGCGCCTTGAGCGTCTTGACCAAGTTTGGTACGAAGACCTTGAACTTCTCGACGATGTCCTCGTCACTGTCCGCGTCTTCCTCCTCGTCGGCTTCGCAGAAGCTCGTCGCCAGGGCCAGGCCGCACAACTGGACGCCGTGGTTTCGGTCAGCCAGTAGGTTGCTGACCTTGTCGACGAAGTGCTCTTTCAAGTCTGGGACCTTGCGACATATCCGCATGGCACAAAGGGCCGCCTTCCTTCGAATATACGGGTTCGATGTGTTGACGCAGGCCTCGACTTGCTGGAATAGATCTCGCGACATCTCAATGGAGGCTATGTTACCCAGGGTGCAAAGGGCCAGACCGACGACATACTGGTTCGAGTGTGCAAGGTCACTATTCCATGTCAGCTCTGGGTACAATGGCCAAAGTGTGTTGTCGGTGCCTACTTCTGAAGCGAGTTTGTCACAAGCGTCAAGACCTCTTGGTTTTCATCGAGCAGCAAACTAGTAGCGAGGTGGCCCAGCCGCTTGTCGGCGAATCGTGGAGAAGCAAGCAGCTTCAGACATTCGATCTGGCCAAAATGTGTTCTCTCACCGAGGGTGAAGAGGTATAGAAGCTTGGCAACATTGTTCCGCCTGGTTATTGAACGTCAGCCCCGATCCGCAATGGGATTCCTCTTGGAGTCACAATCCATTGCGCACCTCACGCTATGGTCGCCGCTCTCTTCTCTGAAGCTTGCTCGGATAGAAGCACTCTCTTTCTGGATTACGGCTCGTTCGTCGGCGATGGTCTTGGCAGCACGA